ACTTGGAAATGAAGATGTAAGAGATTTAATGCACCAAAGCAAACTCCCCTCTTAAATGCTTGAAAATGATTATTTCAAAGAACCTTCTTTAATTAATATTCCTCTCTGAAGGCTGGAATCTCTAAATTACAGCCTTTGTTCAAACCAGCTTCTGAGAACAAGAACAACGAAGGCAATTAACACAGCATTACAATTTTTGATGAAAACTTGGCATTTTCTTTATATTAAGATTAGCTACTAGTTGCTGAAGTTTCTGGGGTAAGACTTAACTAAAGCTGCCAACATCAATGATCCAAAATTGTTTTGAAGTTTCAGTAAAATTTTGTTGGACATTTTTTCATTGACGTGAAAAAGGAGTCCATGCAGCCATGCCTCAAAGCCATTTTGTTCACCTAGTACTTAATGTCCTCTGGTAGTTTATGAAGCACTTGAACATTTGAGTTTAAATTTTCCACAAGTCTTCTGATTTACAAATAACCGTTTCTTGGAAAGTTTGAAAATTTCCGAAAAGTAAAAAATTCAGTATCTTGTTATCTGACTATACAGAGATAACTACAGTTAAATGTTTGGTGCATTTTCTTTCAGTCTTTTTTTTTTTCAATGTATAAATATTAAAATTCATAGTTGAGATCATACTGCATATATGGTACTGTATCTTGCTTTTTTCATTTTAACGTCGTGAGCATTTTTCCCATGGCATTAAAACTGTCTTTGAAAAATTGAAAGCATTGGGCTGTCAGCGTAACTGAAAATGTTTTCTTGGTGTGACACATGTATCTTTGTAATTGGTTTGATTTAGTGTGCTTTACCTCAATAAAAATTCAGTATTACGATTTACATATTGGGGTGGGGAGTGGTATCTACTTCACATTACTAAAATCTTAGTAGAATTCCTTTTTTCAGGGACTTGAACTCCTTCCCTGGTGCATTTCAAACACGACATGTACACACAAGTGCTTGCTTGCTTTAAATCCTCAGAACACCGCTTTGTGCACAGGGAGCCCTCTCCATTTGAATAGTGCAATTCATGGGAAATGCAAGAATGCCAGTTTCCTAGGGTTCCAGTCAGGAAGTTCTCGCTTGGTTCCAATTGTGGGGATTTCAGATCCCCCCCTCTTGTGCTGCACATGAAAGAAAACGGGTGGAGCAGATCTGCTGAGGCTTCCGAGCCTGTGCTGAGTGGATCTGAGTGGATCAACACTAACGACAGTCCCCTGGGGCTGGCCGTCTGCGCTCTCAGTCTCACGGGGGTTGGGGAGCAGGTAGAGAGTGTAGACGCGGCCTCCAGGCCACAGGCTGCTGGACGGAGGAAGGGGGTGCATCGGTCTGCATTTGCTCTCTCTCTGCCTATATGTGACCTAACTATGTGCTGGTAAACTGGAATTACATGTAATTAATTCTGAAAACAGGATTTTCTTAACTATCTGAAGCATGAACTTGGTATGAAAATAATAGTTATGTGCTGCTCTTTTAACAATTGACCATGTAACCTAGATCCTATAACCTGGACTGTAACTTTGTTTTAGCTCCGGTGGGAGCTTTCTTTTCAAAGTATGATTAAATCATCCTAATCTTTTTTATTTTTCCCCTCCGTCCTGCACTAATCATTTAAAACGAATGCAGAAACTTTAAAACTGCTAAGTTTATCTTGTGTTAAGCAATGGAGACCTTTCTGTCTAATCATACTACTTGTTCTGCTTTTTGTCAACTGATATTCCCATAGCCCTTTTGAAAAAGTGTGTTTTGGTAGAAATTAAGTTGTATGCCCTCCGGCCGTACAACTTAGTTTTTAGTTCTGAAGCATGTTCAGATTCTCTGTATTTGTATAGGCCTGATTGTTCATGTGGCTTAGCTAAGGTTTCCTGAAGCATCTTCCAGTAGCTGTCATTGGTTTATAAAATAAAATTTGGGCTGTTTAAAATATATATTTTTTGGTTGTTAATCTTAATTTTTTTTTGACACGAAAGTGTTTTTGGGAAAGATTTTCAGGGAGTTAAACGTTGAAAAGAATTTTCCCTGCTGAGAGTAGGTAGGAAGAAAGTCATGTTGCACATTGTGGTTGTACTTGAGCTGCCCGACTAAAGCCCAACTCATAACACTCAACAGAAGAAAGATGGCCATTTCCCAGCAGTTCCTGGGAAATTTTCAAATTGACCAAATTGGTATTTAATCTCTTTTCTTTTTCATGGAGAATAGCGGTGGAAACAATAGAACAGTTTGCTTGATGTGCCTGTTCACTTCTGGTGGAGTATTCTGTGAGCCTTGGGTATTTGTCCTTAGGTGTTAATAAACATGCTGCTGTGTTAATGAGGGGTTCGGGGCGGAGGGGGGGGGGTTTGTTGAGTTCTTTTGGTGGTTTCAAATGATAAAGGGGATTCTATGTTTAATTACTGAAGTTTAGTTAGTGGAGTTTTGTGCTGAAGGCCCAAATTTTGCAGTATAATTCCCTTAGGACTTCATGCATTATGAACCTGCTATGAAAAGGTTCTTGTTTTAAGTTCACGGACACTCTTTGGTAGTTTGTTTAGGGCTGCTAGGTTAGGAAAAAAAAAAAAAGCACAGCACACAGAACTTGGGGAAAAAAAACATGCTGGCAATTTGGGAATAACTTGAGTTTTTAAAAACTTGACAGCAAAGATTGAAGAGGTGAGAGCCAGCTGGGTTTATTTCCCGGCCTTGGAGAGGGGAATGGACGCCAGCAGCCTTGGGTTTCAGTGCATGTCAAAATGGGTAGGACTTGGAAGTGCTCCCCTGTTTGCAGAATTGAGCGGATGCTGTGTGCCAGGCACCGTGTGCATTAGGTAGAAATGAAGCACATGATTGTTTGGCGCTGTATGAAATGAGCCCAAGATGTTTCTTTCCCTTTTATTTATTTTAATAAATCTGCATGGCCTGAGGAAGAAGGAGCATAGCTCTTTTTTGCTGTTAAATGGGAGAGGCCCAGCAGGCAGTTAAGAGCTGTGGATGGGCCCATGTGCCCAGGAGAGATCCCTGTCGCATGGAAAATGATACCCGTAGGTAAGCTAAGGGGTTGAGGACACCACCCTGGGTGTCATCCAACTTGTTAAAGTGGAAGAGAGGCCCCCCCCCCCAGGCCACTGAGGAAGGAGGGGAGAGTTTCATGCAGGAGGAAAGCGGAACCAGCAAGGGACTAAATAGAAGAGGTGGAGCCTTGGTGGGCGGGGTGTGGTGTAGGTGCCAGAGGAGCTGGGGGCCAGGCCTCTGCAGGTGCAAATGTTGGGAGGGAGGCGCGGGCCGGCCCTCCCGGGCTACGTGGCAGTGTACATCTGCTCTTCCGGTGGTGTGGGAGCCACGGCGGGCAGGAAGGGAGAGGGACTGTTTCACGAGGCCTGAGGCAGGCCAGGCCCAAGCCCCTGTAACCACTTCATGCTGAAACCCTGTTGACTCTAAGAGGGGGCAGTGTAACGGTCAAGGGGAATGTCAGATCAGTGCTTGAGTTTTGAGCCCCAGCTCTTGCTTACTAGCTGTGTGACCTTGGGTCGCTTGCTTAACCTTTTAACTTCCGTTTTTCATCTGCAAAACAGGCCATACAGATGTCGTAGGATCATTACGAGCATGAAAATTAGAAGTACTTACATAGCACCAGACACAGGAAGTACTCCAAGATTAGTGCCTCTATTTTTTTAAATAGGCACCAGCCTTGCAATGGTTTAGAGCTAAAGTCTGGCATGCCCACCCTTCCTCTGGCCACCCGGGTGGGGTGGGGGAAGGACACCTCTTCCACAGGCAGAGCAGTGAGGGGCTGCTGGCTGCTGGCTAGGGAGTTTGAGAGCAGGAAGAGGTGTGGGTTGCAGAACATGATCAGCATCAGGGAGACTTTTGAAGCGAGGGGCCTGAGAATGTTCACAGAGTATTTGTAGGGTAAGAACAAGGTCAGAGTTAATGGGGGCAGAAAGCAGAGAATTTTTTCCCAGCATTCAAATTTAAATCACATTAACAGAGTTTACAAAGAATGGGCCCCTACCCAGACCAACCTCTATAAAAATCTAAGGTGCAAGTTGTGTTCTTTGGGAACATTAATTCTACTAGGTCATAGTCTATCAATTTAGCCAAGCAAGAACAAAATCCCTGCGTGAGGCCAGAGTAGCATAAGGGGAAGTTCGTAAGGGAAATCCATCTTCTGTGATGTTAAGGTTTTCAAATTCAACGCTGTGGTTAATGTTTCCTGGCGTCACTCGGGCCTTTCATAGGTCATCCTGAACGTTTCAGAGTGGAACATACGTTTGCCTCCTTTAGACTGTTCAAGAATCTGAAGAATGAGTGTCCAGCGTTGGGTGCTGGGTCTTTCCTGGATTTAATTCAGCCTTGAAGGCAGGAGGGTTTTTTTATACTACCATCAGCGCTGCCTCCTCCTCTGAGGCTTCATACGTGATGATGAGTTAGGTTGCCCTGAGGAATGTCTGCCAAATCAAGTTCCAGACCGGGGGTGATCATAGAGCTTGTTTTGTCCAAGGGCAGACTCACTTTCTGCCTGAGGCCCCTGCATACTTTTTTAATAGTGACCCCTTTTTTGGGCTGCAGAGTCCATGATTTTGGATGATCAGTTAGAAATGATTGCTCCCCTTCATGCACATAGACATGCTGGGGGGATCTGTTGGGGTGGTGACTCTGGATAACCAAAATGCCCTGTTTAAAGCGAGCACCTGCTGTCCTCAGCCATAAACTAAGCAGTGTATACCCAGTAGAGTTGATGGGAGAGTTTTGTGATCTGTGCATACACCTGACACGGTGCTCGTGACAAGATCCACTTCCCAGAGTTGGTAATTATCCGTACTGTAAATATCGGTGCTCTTCCCGATGAAACACCTACATCAAAAGCCCGGCGATTTGTTTTTCCACAAGAAAACCTAACTGCCCTGTGGTGACTCCTTAAGGAAACAGGAAGACCTCTGACGCTATGAAACGTTGAAAGTAGAGTGGGTTGCTTTCAAGAGGGTTAAATAATCGAGCAACTCTAAAACCTTTTTTCTTCTTCCTAGGTCTTAGTGGTGCAATGGCTAGTATAAGCGTGCGTTCGAGTACCCCAGGCTCTCCTACACATGTAAGCAGTGGATCGAATGCTAGTCGAAGGAGAAATGGACTCCATGATGTCGATTTGAACACTTTCATATCAGAAGAAATGGCCCTCCACTTGGACAATGGTGGAACTAGAAAGCGTACCTCAGCCCAGTGTGGCGATGTCATTACAGACTCACCAACCCATAAACGCAACAGAATGATCTAAACTGCAGACATTTTCACACCCACCATGCTGCTTGAAAGCCACTCGATCCTCAACATATACTATTATTGCAAAGGAAACATGAGGCCATCTTTCCTTGTTCACTGTTTAAGACAAGTGAATTCTATAGTGGTTGCCATAAAAGGAAGCTCTAGGTATTTCCAATAGATGCCTCTTGTAACCATGGCTTTCCTAAAACTATAATCCTAGCAGAGGACATCAGACATCGTGTAGTCATTAGCAAGATCATCATAGGCAAACATATATCCGTTCCAAGGCTAAAAGTGACCTTAACTGTATTTATTCTCAAAGGGAAAGGAAATATCAGATGTTTATTTGGTTATAGAATGCTTTTTTCCCCCCTCCTCCCCTTCCCTTCTTCCTTTTTGGTCCATTTCCTGCTGCGTTGAGTATTTTGCTCAAACAGTATTGCCAGGTTCCTAAAATGATCTCAAACCCACGATTTGGCCTCCTCGTCAAATCGGCAGGCTGCCAGTTTTTGCAGCGGCCCCGTACCACGCCCACGGTCTCTCTCTGGTCAACAGTGTGCAACTTCTAGTGGTTGGACTGTGCCCTGGTTTTAGTTTTCCAAGCAGTTTCTAATTCTGGTGATTGTGTGATGTAAAGAGGTGCTATGATGGTCATGCAATTAATACTTAATATTGAATCAATACACAGAACCTTATTGGATTCACTTTGTGTGTGTTAGCGCTCTCAAGGTAGCAATATGATTATTAAAGTGCCCCCCAGATTGACCCCGTAGGCTTAAAATACTTCCGTTTTAAAACAAGTACTACTTCCCATGCAGGGTACTGTTTCTTAGGGTAAATGTAAACTCGTAGACTGCATTCAAGGGGGACGTACAGTAGGGAGGCCATGAACTTGGAGGATGGGCTTCCTTTTTGTTCAGTATTAGCGAGAGGGAGATGGATGGTGGGGGAGGGTAGGTATTCCAGTCCTTCGTGTCCTGTCCTGCATTTTTCATGAATGCCCCGCTTCGCGCAGCTTCCGTTGGGGTTGGTGGAAGATAACAGTCTTTCATCTGCCAGCGACGCGATCGCAACTTAAGTAGCACCTCCCCCACCCCCCCACCCCCGGTCTCCAGTCCCTCCCCCGCTAACCAGTGCAGTTTGGAATCTCATTCCGGAAAAGATGGAATCGCATGGAGGCTTCTCTAGATGTTAGTTTGACCTAAATAAAGGTTCTGAGTAGATTCCTCTTTTGAGTCCCTTATAAGGCCTCTTGTAGCCACAATGTTTTAGAGCATGCTTCATCTGCATTTTTCATATCTTGAACTGAATGATAGTCATTTTTAGATGAAGAACTGATGTCAGCCTGCCAGGTACTGTAATTTATTCTATCATATTATTATATTATATATCAAGTAGGACAGTGAAAATGTTTCCTTGCAAACCTGTAGTCCAGTATCAGTTAACTTCCTGTTTTTATCCTCAAAAGACCATTGCAAATCAGTGTAAGGGTTTTTCCAGTAATTACTCACAGCACTTTGATAAAGTTTGCAACTCCTTCAGCCATTTAATAATATCTTTCTGTGAAGAAACTTTGCTAAGTTAACCATAATATTCATGGACTGACCGGGTGGGAGGTGAATGGATTGTTAGAAACGTGTGAGCTCAAGTTCTGTATTCATATAGATAACAGCCCTTATTTAAAAAACAAGAACAAAAAGTCAATTCCGTACTAAAACTAGGACTGAAAGAGAGGTATTTCAAAATTTTTGCAAAAAGTGGATCATTCTTTTTTGTTTGAATATAATAGCAGGGAGACTTCTACCTGAAACAGACGAGCCTGTGTATCACGAATACTTTAAAGCTTCCTTTTGGAATATGCCCAGAAATGCATTTGGAATTACCTTTGTTTTTTTCTATTGTTGTAAATTTAGATTCTGGAATTGGCGTTTGGTGGAGTGAAGCGTTGCTCACAAGTGGCCAGAACTCCTCTTCTTAAAGGATTTTGAGATTGAGGAACACTTGTATATCCTCCCCTTTATGCCTTGGTTCTCTAGTTCTCCTTCCGAATCGAATAGCAATTTTTTATTTTTGGTTGTTTTTTTTTTTTTTTTGTTTCATTTTAGTTGGTGCTCTGACACTGAATCTCAGTACCCTTTACTCTCGATTGTCAAATTTTGATAAAACATGTGCCATTTTCTTTGGTAAGAGAAAGCAGGTCTTAATGTCTGCCAGAATACGATTTATATGCCTTACTGGCTCCATTAAACTTTTTAAAAACTTTAGCATTCGTTACTTTTTTCCACTGCATTTAATCTCCAGTGAGATTGTCAACCTCCTGGTACCTCCCCCGACCCCCGCTCTGTCTTCTCCTCTCTCCCGTGCCCCCTGAGCACAAAATAACTTCTAAGAAGTCTAGGAGTAGAAAGGGAAACGATTTCTTAAAGGAAAACGTTCTGACTGCTAGAATTTTGAAGCCTTCGATTGTGCCATTTTAGATGCAAACAGATCATGGCAGATTGCATATCGTGTGGTACTTTTTAAATGACATTGGTTTTCTTTTTTTCAGTCTCTTGAGAACAGTGTAGGCTGAATTTTAAAACCGAACGGTTTACTCTGGGGGAACAGAACCTCCCCTAGATCCTCGGATTCTTGTAGACCTCCCGGCTCATGAGACCTGTTGCTGTCGCCCTCACTTGGCCTGAGTGGGTTGAGTTCATCCCTACCGTGCAGTGTTCTGAGCATGGCTGAAGCGTTCACGACTTACTTATCATGTTTAGATTTTATAGAGCAAAATTAATGGAAAGCATTTGGCTGAATCTAAAGACCCACAGTCAAATTCTTCAATGTGGTTCACCCAACTGGAGTCATGGTACACACCTTCAATCATTCAACGAATAAATAATTTAAAAATCCAAAAAACTACGGGGCTTGTCTGCGGTTTTGTTTTGGTCACCACATCCGAATTAAATTTTTTGATCAAATCAAATCAAATCAAGTTCAGTCTTTGAGAAAAGAACCTTCCTACGTGTGTTTTTCCTCTAAGGGCTTTGGGGACCCATTAAACTGCATAGCTGTATCTTTGGGCCCGAAGAGCTCCCTGCAGCACTGGAAGCCGGGCTTGGCTGGCTCCCTGCACAGGTCGGGGGGTGGGGGGTTGCGGCCAGGGTCTGACAGGGGGGTGGGGGGTGAGCCAGCCTCAGTGCAGTGAGGACACAAGAGGCCGAGGGATGATCTGGAAATGATGAGAATAGGGACCGAGTTGGGAACACGGGCCGCATAGTTAATTTTAGAAAATTACCATGAATGAATCACTGAATTTTTGTCATGATTTTTTTTTGAGGGGTATTGTGACGATGTCGGTATATTTATCTCCTTGCATCAGATTTCATATTGTTAGAGCCTGCCGTTTCAATAGATGGGTGACTTAGGTGTCTGGTTACAGGGTGGCTGGGGAAATCAGGACACTAAGGGCTGGGGAGTGACTCGAAAGGTTCTGCCAGAAGCAGCCGTTGTTTCACTTGAAAGTTAAAGAAACCGAAGATCCATCCCTTTGAGTTACAGGAGGTGGTTGCGGTCAGGCGCTCACAGTACCTGCTCCCCGTCCCTGAAAGCTGTCACGTCTCTGGTCCATTCAGGTGACCTTTCCTCGTGCTGGCCGGCTTGCACACGCCACCCTGCAGGGTTGGTGAGGTGTGTGGTGGTTGGGACGGGACCACATTGAGAGAGGAGCGCCAGGCCTTCACGCCCAGGCTGGCCGGCACATCATCACCCCGGGTGCTGTCCTGATGCGTTGGACTTCCTGCTACAAGACCTAACACCTGCACGATCTTCATGGAGTTGAGCAGACGGCGGCCTACGACATGCGCAGGTCTGGAGGGTCCGACGCACGTTGTGCGGCCCTTGGTGAAGCTGGGAAGTCTCACCGATGCCATTGCGAGTTTCCGACGGCCTCTCATTTCCTTTGTATTGCGTTAACGCTTTAAAACACTTAAAAATCCAGCCACACAGCCACTTAACAGTGTGTACAGATCTTTCTGCACTGAATAGATACGCCGATAACCTGATAAACAAATAGTACTAGCTTTTCATAATTAGTGCTAGTGCAGTAGTGGATATTCTAGTGTAAGTTGCTGTAGGAGACATTTCTGCAGGTAAAACGCTTCAAAGGAATTCACATTTAAAATATTAACGGGGCCTCCCAGAGGACCTGCCAAGTGCTGGTTAAGGCTCTTGCCAACATGTTCTCCCAGCATCTGAGCCACTGTTGGGGATTTGGACTGTTTGCAGACAGGGGTGGTCTTAACATTTTCATTTGCTTTTTTGCCCCCTTGTATGAAGGAAGAATCTTGACATGAAATCCTGTGGATTTGAATGCTGGCTCCACCACTTACTAGGTGTGGGAACCTGGGTAAGTGTGCCTTCCTGGGCTGGTTTCGTCATCTGTGAAATGAGTGTATTAGGAAAAAAAAAAAAAAACCGAGGTCAAGGTCAGCGAGTTGAATTTCTTGGGTACTTTACGCCTACATTAAACTCACTCTCACCAGTGGTGCCCTTGAGCGCTCTGGAATGTGGTTGATAATTTTTGCAATGGTATATTAAGAAAAACTTAACACATGCTTTTATTTTTTTAATGGCGCACAAGCAGGAGAGGAGCAGGGAGGGGGACAGAGGATCCAAGGATCTGGAATGGGCTCCTCACTGACAGCAGCGAGCCCGATGTGGGGCTCAAACTCAGTGAACCATGAGATCGCGACCTGAGCCGAAGTCAGACGCTCAACTGAATGAGCCACTCAGGCGCTCCAGCATGCATTTTTGTAAGGAAAATTAAAATGTCAGACCTTAGTAGAGAGGCCCTTTTAATATGTCCTCCCCAAAGGTAAGAGCTGAATGGTTTTGGAGGGTAACCTTCCTAGTATTTGTCTTTTACATATGTAGCCATTAAAAATAATGGTTATTTAGGAGTCAGTGTTGGGTAACCTGCCTTGGGGATGTCAGTCGCTGTGGGAAATGAACTTGGGATTTCCAATATTGGAAGTGGATTGATTTCATCACGTTCTGGTGCAGTTTGAAACCTGAGAGCCTCAGGAGTCTTAGGTTTTCTCCAGCTTCAGCAGTGAGGAGCCTGAGCAGGCTGAGAACTGTGAGAAAGGCGGCCTGGGGGGGCCTCAAGGCAGCCCACCATGAACCCTCCTGGCCACTTTCAGCACCTGGGCCAGTGGACCGACTCTTGATCCAGATGTCCTCCACACATCCACCAAGGTACGTGCCACTGTGACTTCGAGATTCAAGGGAAGGTTCTCAGACCATCGGTACTCCTTAGGGTGGGGTGGTGGTGCCAGGGCTCAGATACCTTGGGGAATGGGAGAACACCTACCAAACTGGCCTTGAGTGCCGTGGGCGAGGTTGACGGCTTCCCCATCTCTTCTCGCAAGGCGAAGCTCCTAATCATGGCGGCGAGTGCTGGCTTCAAGGTGTATCTAGAAATCAGTAACTACCAAGGAGTTCTGATTTGCTGCTTGAGGCTTAGGTTGACATAAACCTATGGAATTGTGTTCGCTTACACTTTTATTTGGTATCTTAAGGCTGGTCTCTTCCCCATCCTCAGTGTTTCTCATTCTGTTGTTTTGGGCTGCGATCCACAGTATGAAATACCTATGCCATTGAGACCCAGCGTGGAGGCGCACACACAACACACAGTAACTAAGAGAAGTTAGAGCGCTTCCTCTCTTTCTGTCCGGTGCACAGCACCTCTCAGTTTCTCGCCGTTTGACGACACAGATTGCTGTGTGTGATCCTATTACATCGATGTCACGACCTGCTTGAAAACCCAGGCTCTCCGGATATCTGGCTGGCACAGAGTAGGCTCCTGGACACATCTTGGATGAGTGAGTAGATAAAAGGTGGCTTGAGGTTTTTAAGGTTTTCGTGAAGAGTCCCTGTTTTTCCTTGTGGGCTTTTCACAGTGTCTCCAGAACCAGGGTGTGGTGATTAAGAGCAGAACTTCGGGGTCGGTGGGGTGTAGACGGACCCTGGCACAGGTCTGGGGAGATGAAGGCGCCTGGGATGACAGCTGGCCCGTGGTCATCAGCGCACACACGTTAGCCATTAAGCGTGGTCACCGTCACCCATCAGGCTGGATTCAATTCCCTCCTCAGAGGCTGGGAGGGGCCCCTCCTGACCTCTGTGCTACCCTGCAGCCTCGGTTCCCCACACCCCTGTTTCCTCTCTCCACTCAGATTTCATGGCTCTCTGTGTGAGTGCACACCAAAACCAGCCGGGCTCAGGCTGTGTGCCCACGGCAAACTAGATGGCACTCCTTGGGGTGGGCCGCAGCTGCCAGCATTTTCCAGGCCCCTGCAGTAGAGAACCCCCAACTGAGGGCCTCCGTGTGTTCTGCAGAAGACGCAGAAGGGACTGTTGCTCTGGACCTTTTCCCGATTGTTGACTGGGCAGGCATCCAGTGGTATTGGACTCTGCCGGCCCTCCCTCAGCGGGCTGCCTGCCCGTCCACCTTCGGTCCCTCAGGCTTTGAGGAAGTCTGGACTTGACCAGTGCATTCCTCTGGGGCAGGGTGTTTTCCTGGGCTTGCTTGGCAGGAGGAAGTTTGCACCCACAAGGCTTTGGGGCGTGTTGAGCCCTGGCTCACCAGGGGTGACCAGCAAGTGTGCCGCCCTCAGGACAGGCTCTCCTGCACCTGGTTGGGAATGTGTCCCCTTGAAAGAGGTTCCAGATAGATTCCTGGACTCTCCACCCACACACACTGAACACAAAGGGTCTGGGTTGAGGACACGGTATCTGTAAAAGAAAGAAGCAGAAATGGATCCTAAGTCCTGCCACCTGGTCACCACTGTTGACATTTAAACATTGCTAGTACATGCCCTTGGGGGGAGATTGTGCAGAAAGGTCCTGAATGAAGAGCCTGCCTCTGGCAGGAAACTGGGCGGGTGTGGCCTGCAGCTTCGTTGGGGGTGGGCCGCGACCTGCTGGGGCTGACAGGGCAGGGAAGAGCCTGGGCCTCCCGGGTGTGGGCCTCTGCATCATCTCTCCCTGGAACCCTGTCACAGGCGCGTATCACGAGGACCAATCCCAGGATATCGGGGCGGACCTGGCACCCCTCAAGTCTCCCTACCTCGTCTGGAGGCACCGGGTGTGCCTCATAAAACATCGACACACGCGTGTCTGAAAAGCCATATACAGAAGGGGTCAGACCCACTCCAGTCTGCCCTTGGGTCTCCCAGAAGTCTGCCCTTCGCAGTCTGTGTGCCTTGGACTGGGCGCTTGGAGAAGACGCGCTCGCTCGGCTGCCCCTTTACCAGGCGAGAAGCCGAGGCTTTGGTGAGCCCTGTGCGGGGCCTGTTGCCACTCCTGGGGGAGCCTGGAGCCTCGTGGTTACAGTGTTGCCCATCTTGGAAAGTTCTTTACCCACCTGCCTCAGTTTCCCCATCTGTAAGGAGGGTTGTGGGGATAAAATGAGCTAATGCCTAAAACTGGAGGGTCCCTGGCATGTGGTGAGCACAGAGTTCTGAGTCCTGACCACACGTGCCCCATGTTTCCGCGGGGGAGCTGATGACCCTTCCCAGGGCTGGTAAGTGATGGATTGGAAGTTGCCCCCAGCGAGAGGAGAGCTCGCTCTGGGGGAGGACGGCCTGGGGTGCGCTGAGGTCAGTGGACAGTTTAGGTGTCGAATGTCACCAGGAACGGTTTAGGTGACACTCCCAGGTTCGGCATGGATCCACCTCAAAGGGCAGGAACTGTCTGTTCCCAGCGGCGCCCTCAACCCGCCCACAACACGAGCAGGTGGGCTCCCGCGGAGCTGCCTGGGACCCAGCAGCCCAGAGATCAAGATCAAGTTGGCTCAGCTTCCCAGGCCGGGCTGCCTCTGTGCACCGCGTGGGCCTCCTTCCAGCTGCGGAAGCCCG